TTTCCGACGGAAGTTTCTGTCGGAAAAGTCAATTAAAAAAAAAAAGAGCCCCACCCCTAACCTTTACCCTACTTAGATCCACCCCCGCCACCAGCCCACACCACCCACCACCACCACCTCCAACCCATTTTCCCACACCACCCACCACCACCACTTCCAACCCCATTTCCCACACCACCCACCACCATCACGTCCAACCGAAAAACCCACTTACCACCCTAACATGTATCCCTTCCCAACCACCCAAATACCACCACCCAAACCACCACCACCCACCTCGCCATTCCACACCCTCCCAAACCACCACCGAAATCACCCAAAAAAACAGCAGAAAACCACTTAAAAAAAACAAAGTAATTCGACCCAAAAAACCCTAGAAAGTCGACCTAAAAAACCGAAGTAATGCGACCCAAAATAACCGAGCAATTCGACCCCAAAAAACCCCAAAAATTCGACCCAAAAAAACGAAGTAATGCGACCCAAAAAAACCGAGCAATTCGACCCAAAAAAACCCTAAAAATTCGACCCAAAAAAAACCCAGAAATTCGACCCAAAAAAACCCGAAAATTTAAAAAGAAAAAAACCCAGAAATTTCAAAAAAAAAAAATGAAGAAATTCGACAACTTACCTTGAGTTCCATCAAAACCCCTAAATTAGCTTGAATTTGGGTTTTAAAGGTCAAATTCGACTATGAAAACTCTAGATCTAGGGTTTTCATGGTCGAATTTGACATGAAAAACCTTGAGAAGGTGGTGGTAGTGTATTGGTTGCGCAGCGACGGTGGTGCTTGGTGTTGGTTGCGCGGAGGAGAGAGAAACGGAGGAAGGAGAAGGAGGAGAGAGAAACGGAGGAAGGAGAAGGAGAAGAGAGAGAAAGAGAGGCGAATCTGAGAGAAGGAGGGAGGTCAGAGAAGGAGAAGAGAGAGAAAGAGGAGAGGAGAGGAGAAAGAGAAAAAGAAAAAAATCAAAGTTGTGGGTGTTGTTTTTTTTTTTTTATATTAGAATTTTCCGACGGAATATTTCCGACGGAATAATAATCCGTCGGAATATTTGGGATTTCCGAGGGAATATTCCGTCGGAAAATTCCGACGGATTTAAATTCCGTCGAAAATTTAACTTTTCGACGGAATATTACGTCGGAAGCCTAGAGTTCCGAGAGAATTAATTTCCGTCGCAAGACTTCCGAGGGATTTTCCGTCGTCACGGACCTTTTCCGACGGAATTTTCTGACAAACCCTAATTCCGTCGGAAAGTTCGAATTTTCCGACGGAATTTAGGTCCGTCGGAAAACGACCTATTTCTAGTAGTGTTGGGTCAGCTTTTGACAGCTCTACTTGTCGGTAATCATAATTTCTTAAACATGGCCAACCATATAGTGTTGTCATTTCACATATATAGTAATTAATTGAGTTATTAGGTTACAATGATGAACGAATATGGTTAATCGGTTGTGTAGACACCTGATTGTGTCTCCCCAAAAACCAAACCCAGTAATGAGTACTTTTCATGTTACTTTTCATGTCTTTGATTAACGAGTTCGGTAAAGAGTTGAACAATCTCGTGAAATCTTCTTAAACCTTGACCCTACCCCTAACAATACCTAAACTGTTTTAAGCTAAATTATTCATTTCGTGTCTTTAAACCCAAAATCATTTATTTCGTGTTCTTAAAATCATTCATTTCGTGTCCAAATCATAAAAACGTCCAAATCAAATTATTTTGGTACATAATCTCAGTCCAATTATTGTTTAGTTTTATGGGGCTTGAAAAGAGCTTTCCAACGATATATTATAAACCCTAATCCGACTTAAAACGAATAAGTTATGGCCAAAATACTAAACCAAGCCCAAACCGAGCCTAGGTCCACCTTACCTACGATCCAATGATCATATGAGGGTCCAAATATCTTATTCCCAATCCTAAGTCAGTTAGGAACTTGTGGAAGTCTCTAGAAGGTTCTAATCTATCCTTTCCGAAAAAATAAAGATCAAAAGAGTTCGAAGTCGAATAAAACTTCTTTTATGATAGTCCTTGTTCTATTCAAATTAAAATACATCCGTATATATTTCATAAATCTAATTCTATAAGAAATCAAACTTCGTACGCCTTTATTATCTTTAGAAAAAATCGCAGAACGACAGAACCATCACGACACGTCGGCTTCATCGCGCCGCGATGGAATCTGGCGCGTCACGACAATTCTGTCCCCCCGCGTTAAGAGCAGTTATATTCCGTTCCAAATTATGATATTTTAAGATTGTCCACGCTCTCTTTTTTCCCTATAAATAGAGGTCGTTTTCCCCGTTTCAGATCATCAACAATTATCATCAACAACCATCATAATCCTCGAAGTTCATAACCTTAGCCTAAACACATCCTTGATACTCTACCAAATCAGTCACAATACCTCATTCGCGAGATTCGAATACTCTAAGTCATCCTCAACATTGCCTTTGACCTCGATGTGAAAGGTTGATAGTTCAGAGGATTTGGTCCCAAATCTATATTTCAATTCATATTTGATATTGATTTGATTTTTTTGAAGTTTACTAACGTGTGTATTGTTTTAATAGCAAGAAGGTTGAGGCATCAAAGTTAGTAATTCAATCATCCTTATTATTATTCTTTTAATTTTGGAGTAGAAATCATGTTTACAATGTTATATTAATTCCTAGTATCATGCTTAGGATGCTTATTTTGATTTCTAGTATCATGTTTAGGTAATGCTTTGATTTTGATTATTAGTGACATGCTAGGATTTGTTATTAATCCGTTTAGTATCATGCCTAGGATCTTACTACTAACGATGTTTGGATGATGTTCTTATGATGATGATTGTTGTACTAATCATATGTTGCTTGATTATTCATGATTTATTGTTATTGCTTGATCACACCCCTTTTTGCAAGTTTAAAGGGAATTTGTACTTGAAATCACGCCTAATAATATTATTAATAATTTGACTTAGGTTTAATATGATTGTAACTCAAGTGATCACTAATAATAGATTTGATTGTGCATTAATAATCAACCAATGCAGATTAAACAGGTTTAGGATTGGATTAACTTAATGTATGTATGTTGATCAAAAAGCGTGCATGAATATTAAAAGAATCAAGTAGAGGTCTATTTAGGGCGGGTTTGGCTTCTCTTAGGTCAAATTCGTACCATCATCCCTGAACATCCAGTCATGGTTCCGGACCACTATGGAGTTAGCAATCTATGTGATTGTGAATAAGGTGTAACCTTCACACACCCGTGAACGGTTTACAAGTTCTAAAACTTGTTGTCGACTCTTTTTCTCTAGCTTCTTTTTCTTGGAGCGCCGTCATGCTTTAAAACATGACCCACTTGTGGGGCGATGAAAATTCCCTACATGTTGGATAGGGGTACTACTCCTATGAAAAAATGAAGTTACGTACTCTAATTAACAAGTAAAATCGTTCTTTTAATAGTAAAAAAAAATTATAAAAAAAAAAAAAGAGATTACTCGAATGAACAAATGGGTCAATGTTACTTCTATAATGAATTAGGTATACTTTTATGTACAATATAAGGTTACCCTTAGGAATAAATGAGGTTACTCAGTTGAATGAATAAGTATTACTAATATAAGCAAATAAGGTTACTTGCTGGTCTGTAATCATCTAAAGCTCATACCACCAACATGAATGAAAGTTAAATTATTCCTTTTGATGAACAATTTTCTACCCTATCAATTTGGTCATGATGGATTTTCAAAGGCCGGAATTATTAAAATTAGAAAAGTTAAGCGTAGATGCATACAAGTATACAACAGCTAAGGTCACACCGTTATACTAGTAACTTTGATAAGTCTTATAATCGAGTCAAAAATTACAACACAAGCTCAAGCTTTCAACGATATCAACTTTCTATTTTTGGTGCATTGAATTGAGGACAAATTCTAAATTTATAATAGCTTAATTATATAGGATTACAATAAGGTCCGTTGATGCAAAATTGTGTTTAGATGGTATCATTTTGTACAAAATGACCATCTAAACACCATTTAGTACAACAAATTTATTACAGTCATGTCCCCTCTTCTCTCCTCTCTCCTCTTATTTTCTAGAGTTTATAATATTTGGGTTGCTTAGGCTGGAAATAGTCTAATTTATGAAGAAAGTAGACTATTTCCAACCCTTTAATCTTGTTTTTCTATAGCATTGCATTTTAGGTTTCAATAACAAGTAGTGTAGATATTCGTCGTCTACCTATAGTGGAGTGCGTGTCTCTCTATGGTGGAATTGTTAGTTTTTGTTAGTTTAGCTGTTTGTTTTTCGTTAGGGTTTATTTGTGTGTCAAGCTTATCAAAAAAGTAATCATCCTTTGCCTTATTATCAGTTCGTTGGTAAACATTTGTTTGGGATCGCAACGGTTGTCGAATTCTCAAACGCGTCCAAGCGAATCATATAATAATAATCCTTACGGCTACAACAAATCGTTAGAGCGTCTCTCCTAAAAGGCTACATTTTTCAGCGATGTGTGCGAGGGATGTATCACAGTGCAAAATCGCTTCAACGATGGTAGCATTGATGAAGAAACCCATTATTTGATTCTATTTTATGTATTTGTTAATATAGATTTTGTTTGTAGATGTTGGATGACTTTTTATTAATGAATTGATTTCATTTAAAAAAAAAAAAAAGTTAATTACAGTCATATATGACTAAAGCTATCATAGTTTTAGATTTTTTTCTAAATTGAGTACTATCTATTGTAAACAAAAGACTTGATTATTTTTTTTGAATTAAAACTTGAAGTTTTTCATTACATAAGCTCAATAAGTTTACAATTAACTTGACAACAACAATCTAGTTTGACTTTGCCACTATTCACGCATTTACTTTTAACTATTTTTTGTTATTTATAAATAGGAAATTTTGTTAGATAACACCTTTTAAAAGACTTTTGTTGTGAAGAATCACCTTCTTTTTTTTTAAATTTTTTTTTGTGAAAACACACCTAAAACAAGATTTCTTTTTTTTTTTTTTTTTTACAAAAACACACCTGACCGGCTGACCCCGATTTCAAACCATTGACTTGATTTACCGGCGTTGACTGGTCACGTGAGCCTCACGTGCTCCGTTTAAAAACCCCCTTCTTATTTTTTTCCCCTTTTTTCCTTCCAATTGAACTCTCTCCAACTGAATTTTCTCTCTCCTCTCATTTACATCTTTCTGTCTTCCTCACCTCACCATTATTGCTCAGCAAGGAATGTCTGCCATGACAGGAACTAATTGAATTCTTCAATTCGTGGATGAATTCTGGCCAAGTGAAAGAGTAAGTTTAAAATTTCTCTCTCCTCTCATTTGTTACTCAATTTCTGCCATAGTACTTGGCTAATTATCTCCGTCCTTTTCTCTGTGTCTGCCATTGGTAAAAAAAAGGAAGCTTGCTTGCTTCAAAGAGAACATATGGAGGGGGTAAAAAAAGGAAGCTAGCTACAAAACATTGTTGGGAATAAATCAGCCCCAAATTTGTAACCCTAATTCCAATTTAAAACCCTAATTTACGCAAAATTTGCAAACCCAACAAAATTAACAACCGGTATCATTAATTAAAACAACTTACCAGCCTCGAATTAGGTGAATTGAGTTTCTTTGCAGAAATTCGAGATAAATAATGGAGTTTTCTTCTTCAATGGAGAGAAAGTGAGGTTTGGGTGGAAGAACAGGGAGAGAGAAAAATTGAAGCAATTTCAATTGGAGAGAGTTCGATAAAAAAGGGGAAAAAATAAGAGGGAGGGGGGGGGGTTTTAAATGGAGCACGTGAGGCTCACGTGACCAGTCAACGCTGGCAAACCAAGTCAGGGGTCTGAAACCGAAGTCATGGTTTTTTTTTTTTATAAAAATCTGGTTTTAGGTGTGTTTTCACAAAAAATAATTTATAAGGTAGTTGTTCACAATAAAAGTCTTTTAAAAGGTGTTATCACAAAATTTCGTTATACATAAGGAAAGACATTGTCATGTAGAATCTTCTTATAATCGTTTCATTACCTACTTTCATATAATCTATTTTTTATAACCCTTATTTATTGAAATTAAAGATCAGATATTGATGGTTAAAGTTATGCACTGATAAAGTGTGTAGATGAAACAAGTCTAATAAAAATAAACGAATGAAAGATAAGATACGCAAACAACAATTTAACTCGATCTAGCTTTAAATTAGCTAGAATTAAGGAAGGATATTTTGATTAAAAGATCATGATCTAAGGAGTTTTCATGTAAATATATTTTTGTACATGATCTTTCATCTTTATTAATGCTGAATAACACATGATTATTAATTAACGTTAGAACTTAGCAAATTCCATCGTGGCCTTGCCATCATGAGGCTTACTGAAGAAGTGCCCAATATAATCCGAGAAAAGAACATCTTTATAAATTGGCTTCTCTCCTCTATCTGTAATCTCTTGTAACGGACCAATAACATCATCGGAGGTTGGATGCACAAAAATTGGGACAGAAACTCTAGACTTGTTTCCGTTCGGAATTACAAGGTGCTCCGCACTCTTATACTTGCCATTGCTAAGTATTTGAAGCACGTCGCCAACATTTACTACTAGAGCACCATTGATAGAAGGCACATGAATCCAACTCTCATCATCAAACCGTCGAACATAGAGGCCACCAACGTCGTCTTGAAGAAGTATGGTAATGGTTGATGCATCTGAATGAGGACCGGTACCAAAGGTTAACTCAGGGTTTGGACACTTAGGGTAAAAAGTTAAGTTCATTCTCTTGCAACCCATCAAAAGAGACTCCTTTTGCTCATCAATCTCATGGACGTTTAATCCCTTCATTAGTATGTTACAAAGTTTTCTTATAACATTTTCGGTACTTCTCAAGTATTCCAATGCTTCATCCCTACGTAGAAAAAAAATTAAAGAATCATGATTATATGACTTGAAATTGCGTACTTTAGATTGAAAAGTCAAGTATGTTACACAAAATAATGGCTATTGTCATAATCAAAACTTTATTCAGAACTTTAATTATTTTTATTCTCTTAGTCCAATTATTTTGCTGTGCCCACGTATGTACACTATACACATTTTATTTCAAAGGAAAGTTATCAAAGGATCCAACTCAAGCTCAAGTTTAGTCTATTAGTTTGAGTCTTTAAGATTTTAAATTTATATCTGATACTATGTTAAAAATGAATCTAGGCCACTGGCCACACCAATCTATCATTAATAGAATCTACATAATTAATAAGACCAACACTTAGTAAGACCAAAAAATGTCCCATGTCAAAAATTGTATGACAATATATAAAAGTGACTCCATTATTTTATCATGACTTCATAGGACACTCGTATGTGTCCTTGACTTTGCCCCACATGCATGTGAGGTTCCTTTTTTTTTTTTTTTTTTTTTTTTTAAAAAAAAAAAAAAATTCATTTACATTTACATATGATGTATCATGGGAACATATTACATACGTTTTCAACACGCACTTTCCATCACATGTGAAAACCATGCATTTTACTCAAAGGTAGAAATACAAATGCTAACAATGACGATGGTTCGGGGCAACTCTGCAAAATCGGACCCTTAATTCATAAACTACATAGTTAATATTAACCAAACATACATATGTACTAAATCATCAAATTTATGATATAATTGAAAATTAAATTATCGATCAACAAGTTTTCTCTTTATATATAGTGGAACAAGAATACTTAAAAAAATGAAATTTAAATTTTGCGTGGTCGCCCACCGAAAACCATCATTGATTTCAATTTAACCCAAGTTATCAAGGCTCCAGTCGTGGGTTTACCTCTAATGGTATGCTAAAGGACCAACTCAGTCAAAAATCCAAATCGATAAAAAAAATCCACATGATTGATTTTTTATTATATAAAATGTTCCATGGATAACCCTAACATTTTGCTTAAATTATGTACTTCATCCGTCCCTACTTTATGTCCCATTTGATTTTTCAAGGTCATCAAGATTCAAGACATATCTTAAAACATATATATCTCCATTTCTATACCTGTAAATATTATAAATACTTTATATAATTAAATTTACGATGAGACGAATTAATCAAGATCATACATAGTTATACCACCTTTTATAGATCGATTAACCGGAATATATGTCTTAGTTTTCAAAAATTAACAAAAATATTGGCAATGGAGCGAGCAAAAGAATAGGGACATAGAGGGTTGGAACTAACACTATAGTGCATGGGAATTCATACAAATCAAAGATATTAAAAGCCAAATAAATGAAAGTTTTTAACAACTTTACCTGCATGGAAGAGGCCAATGAGCAAGGGCATCCTCCTCAGAATTTACAAAGAGACTAAGGTGATCCTTCCATTCAAAAACCTTCTCAAAGTCAGGCGAAAAGCTAGTCCCATACTTCAATTTTTCGAGAAGGTTGAAGGATATTCCGAGTTGGTGAAGGTAGTTTCGTGATTCGGGATGTTGGTTTTTGGGGTTAGCTAGAGGTGGTGGTTTCGGGGTTGGAGGTTGGTTTCGGCATGATGGAAGTAATTTCAAGCAAGTTGTGTTGGTTTTGGGGATGAAAGTGGTGGTTTCGAGGGTGTTTTGAGGTGGGTCAATAGGTGGAAATTCGATGGAGGTAGTTATTTACAACATTTTACCTTTAAATAAGTAGTTTCTTACAACATTTTACCTTTTATTAGGTAGTTTCTGACAACATTTTTTTTTAATATGTAGTTTCTCGAAAAATTTGGATTTTATTAGGTAGTTTCTGACAAAAAATCCTAACAAAAAAGATATTTGATCACTAATATTGGCAATTTGCTCAAATCTATATCCATACATTTGGCATCTCGTCCTAAATGAATGTATTTTTTAATCCATGTATGGTTTTTGCATGTTTGTGTAAGTCATTAAGCATTTTTCCTCTTCTACATCTTACCTTCACTTATTTCAATTCTAATATGTTTGAATAAGCTAGATAAGTTATATGGAATTTGAAATTCAAATAAAGCACGGTGAATTAGTAATATTTGATAATAGGTTATTTAATTGTGTGTGTCATTGTTTAATGAATTCAAGGTCAATCCATGGAATTGTGTGAGTAGAGATAATAGTAATAAAAATAATGGTTATAGTCACATGAATCTTTAGAGGCTGAATATTTTTTGAAGAATTGTCACACTACTTACATGTAGACCAACCGCACACTCAAGTATGCAAGAACGCACATATAACTAACGATGGATAACAAGCACACACAAGCAAAAGTCACTTTTATTAAACGTCTTACTATAGGCCTACAACCCATTCACTTAGGCATAAATATTGCCCACTACACCAACTATATCTATAGTAGCTGCCCACTACTTCACCATACCTCCCTTGAGTGTATCTAGCGTTTTCCACGTAATTAGGGCACGGTGCTCCATGTTCAGCACTGCTCGAGTAACGGTCGCCCAATTGCAGCGCCTTGCAAATTCCATGTCTCCTATAATTTCGAAGTCATGCATAAGTGGTGCTAGTAAGGCTTCCAACCACCCACTTTCTAGCACGCCCACTAACATTGTGCTTCATTCTACTTTTTAGGAGCCACTTGGTTAGTGGTAACTTTATTGGAACTGTCGCGCCATTGAATCCTGATCAGCTAATTAATTGTCGATCATCCCACTAAGACCTACGCTTTGTATGAACCACGACACTTAACCAAATGACACATCAGCATAACTGTCCCACCATCATATTACTCAGCACTCCTAGAATCAAAGCAATAGTGTCCACAACCACACCAACGTAACCGTTATGTGGTCATGGCAAACCATCCCACAAAGCACCCATCCCAAGATTGCAAGTCTCCTTGATCTTCACTTACGTAGGGTCAACGAAAATAATTGGCCAAACCATGATCAGACCTCACGTGGCGGTCTCTAGGTAGCACCAATCTCCCACAATCTGATCTCCACTACTTTGGGGAACATGGTAACTTCCTTTCTTGATTACCAAACATGAAGCTCAAGACGACGACCCTCGCATCGGTAGGCTTGTGCCTTGTACTAAACCATAGGTAGGCCAGTCTTAGCCGAGGCCATCGGGTAAGTTGGTCCAAGTCAATGTCCATCTTAGCTGCCGTTTTTCAGTAACGTATAAAGACAGCTACTAGATACTAGTGCAATATGTAGTTATTTTTGTTCAACACGTCCTAATAACAATGATAGACATCCATTGTCCTTCACTTTTTCACCACCAGATCAAAATTCCATTTTAATTTGGATTTTTTGCCAGAATCTAGCTACCTTATAAAACTCAAGTTTTGTGAGAAATTACCTAATAAAAAACTATTACACCCAACCTAAGACTACTTTCAGCCAAGCACGCTTAACTAAGAAGTATCTTAGCATATGAGCTCGCTAAAAGAAAGATGCATTTTGTTGGTATGAGTAGTATATTAAATTCCTTTAAAGCAATCATGAGGGGTACTATAAAAAACATTGTTGTAAGAAACTACCTAATAAAAGCTAAAATGTTATAAGCTAATAATAAAAGGTAAAATGTTGTAAAATACTATCTCAGCTGGATTTCCTCCGTTGACCCACCTCAAAACACCCCCGAAACGATTGAATCACTTGCATTCTTGCTAGCACTACAAAACACTACAAGAAATTGTCTTTTTCGTAGCGATTGTACATTCGCTATGATATGCATATGTGTTTGTGAAATAGTAGAGGAATCCGTATCATTATACAATCGACATTGTAAACCCATATGAAATTGATACGAAAAACATAATAATATTTATTCACCTTTTTTCTTCACATTTATAAAATTATAGAAAAGCGTATCGTTTACAATCGCCGCTAAAACCCAAAAATAGATATGAAAAGCCTTTTTTTACATTAGATTTTAAAATTTCTTTTAACAAAGAGAACATAAAATATATCATGCTTTATTGGATAAACATTTAATATTAGAGTTTGAGGTTGCATGTTCGAATCTTGTATAGATCATATGTAGGGATTTTTTTTTTTTTTTTTTTTTAGAAAATGAGTTTAACATTTGTAGCGATTAATTGAATGTAGTTTTCCGTATCGATTAATGAGGACAACCCCAACAAAAGCGAAAAACACTACTAAAGGCTATGGTAACGACGGATATTGTATCGAATAACCATTCGATGGGATTTTTTTTTATTTTTTTTTAAGCAATTACAATCGATACGAAATGTTAAAATAATCGCTACGAAAAGGTATTTTTCTTGTAGTGAAAAGCTCCAGTCTTAACTGTGCAACCTTTCCTCGGGTTCATAGAGTACGTGTAATTTCATTCAAAAATCTATATTGAATTAGCGAAATCCCTACCGTTTTCATCACCAAAACCAACACAACCTGCATGAAATTACCATCACTACGCCGAAACCACCCTCCAACCCCAAAACCACCACCTCTAACCCCCAAAACCACCATCCCGAATCACGAAACTACCCTCACCAACTCGGATGACCCTCCAACCACCCCAAAAATGACCTTAACACCTTGAAAACCAACCCCCACGGTGGTTTCAAGGGTGTTTTGGGATGGGTCAATGCTATAATATTAGGTCAATGGTGAAAATTCGGCCAAATGTAATATTTTACAATTTTTTTTTTTTTTTTATTAGGTATTTTTTACAATACTTTATTATTAGATAATTTCTCATAAAATTTAGATTTTATTAAGCAGTTTTTGAAAAAAGTACGTTTAATTGTTTAATTTTATGGAAGAGTACCTTTCAGCGTGTTTTTCTTCAGATTCAGTACTACTTGTTGAAGTTAATAGCACATGGATTAATAAAGCAGTCAAAATACAATCTTAACCTACTACAAACACTGCATGATGATCCACAATTATTCGTCAATAGAGGTGGGTCAGTAAGTGAATAAATTGATAGTCGACTTTACTAGCAACAGTTATTATGTGCATCATGGTAAACCTAGATGCCCTATGTCTATACTTTTGAGTATTTAGTAAAAAAAATTAAACACTTTATAAAAACATGAACATTTAGTAAAAAAAATAAGTACACATCACAAAAAATGAACATAAACATCCAATTTTATATGTTCATATTTTATAAAGAAATGTTCATTTTATATGCAGTAAATGTTCAGTTTATATTACAAAACTATTGAATTATTAGGAGTCAGACAAACTTCTTTCAAAAAATTGATGTTTATTATTTAGTGTTGTGTTCATATTTAAAATTTCAATGAACATAAATTTATTTATAAATGTTCAAATTCGAGTAGTGTCATGTTCATATTTATTAATGCTCAATATAAAATAGTGTAATGATTATATTTAAAAATTTCAATGTTTATTTTCAAAAATTATATGTTCAAATTCTAATAGTTTCATGTTCATATTTTAAATTATAATGTTGATCTTAAAAAAAAAAGGTTGAAATACAATGTATAATACAAATAAAGATAACATAAATTGTTTAAAATATGATCATTATAAATAAATGTATGTTCATTTTTAATGATAAATACTCGTTTGTACTAAATGTTCATATTTAATATACTACATGTTCAAAATTTGCGATTGTTCAGATTTTTTTATTAAATGTTCAAAATTTGCGATTGTTTAGATTTTTTTACTAATTGTTCAAAAGTATAGATGTAATACCTCGTATTTTTATACGTATTTTGATTTAAATCATTATTTTATGAAGTATTTAAATAATTTGAAATGAATTATTTATGGTATTTTATTAATTTAAAAAGGTTTATTTTAATTAAAGGTCCATTTTTATTTATTTAATCCTTTTGGAAATATTTTATTTTATTATTTAGAAACTTTGGGGCATATTATTTGATTAAAGGAAGTTTTAAAGTCAATGGAGTTTTAAAGAAAGTCAATGACTACCTTGAATAAGTGTTGGAATCATTAAGGAGGGTTTTGAGAGAGGGTATAAATACCCATCATATGAGCAAATTTAACTTATTTTTCTTTCCCCTTAATTTTTCCCCCTCCCCTTTTATTTTATCACCTCCATGCCACACACCACAGCCACCCACCGGCCGGCCACCGCCACTAGCGAGCGTCGGCAGGCGGCAGCAGCAGCACCGGCAGGCGCGCGGCAGTAGCCCTGCCTTGGTGTGTGCGTGCGCAACTCCAACAACAACAAAAAAAAGAAAAAAAAAAAACAAAACTGTTCTTTGTTTTAATTTAATCTAGCCTTGATTTAATTATTGTTCTTGGGTTGTGTGATGATTTTATGATCTTTTAATTATAATTAGTATGCATATAATTTTCAGATTTAATTTTTGAATCAAAAAGCCACAAATTGAAAATCCTAGGTTTCTAAATTATTATTTATTGATGGGATTTGATTGTAGTGGATGAAAACTATTGAAATTAATGTTTTAATAAAAATTACAGCTAGTTTATATGTTTTTATAATGCTGGAATTTTTATATAAAGGTTAGAATTATGTTTCTTGAAAGGATTTTTAATTACCCATTAATTAGGAATAAAAGTAGGTGGTTTAAATTAAATTTCAACATGTTGTAGAGGTTTTAAAAGTGATTTAAAGAGTGTATATATTGCTGGAAATTTATTATGAATAGGTATTAATGTCTCTTTGTAATTTTGGATTGTAGGAGACTTCCAAGTGAGTGATTTCGTGTAGCCGTGGCGATTTTGAGATCATACTCGAGGTACGTTCGCGTACTCGGTATTTATTTAACTGTGTAGATGCATGCTAGGCTTTGTTTAATTAATTCCAAGGTAGTATCATGATAGGTATTGGTTGAAATTGTTGATTGAATTGATGTTGGTGATTGGTTTGTGAAGTATGGATTATTTGAGGTGAATAGATGATTGGAATTAATTATGTTGGTATGTTGAATATGAACCACACTTTTATTATTGGCATGATTTAGAGCATGTTTAATTAAACTAAATGTTTAGTTTTGTTTGGATTATAAAAAGAGAATTTTATGATGGTTTATAATTTTTATTGCTGCTTTAAGCATGGGAGTTGAGCTATTAAGTGTCTTAGTACACAGGAATAAAATATATTACGGTGCCTAAATGCAATTAAGGTGTTCTAAACACTGATGAATAGGATTTGTTGTGCTTTATGCGCTTAAGGTGTTTTTTTACGTCGAGCTAGTTTACAAAGGGTTCAACATTAAATTTATGTGGTCACTAATTATTCAAGAATTAAATCAGTATGTTTGATTACTTGAATGATTTATTATGATTGATTGTGTTATAGTTTGAGAGTCATCACCAAGTCTAAAAATATGTAAACAACGTAAAGTGAAAGAGATTACGTACCAAAACTCTTGGAATGTATATACCTTGAGTATGAACATATGGAAGGAGTTATGGGGTTTTATATTTAACCATAGCTTCTGCTAGGAGTAAAGGACGCAGTATTTTCCTTTATTTATTTTATGTGCAAGACGTCCGTCACTTTCATGTGACATTTGCCTACCCGGTTAGCTCCCGGTGTAGTTTACCTTAATTTATTTGGGGTAGGGATTTGGTAGGAAACTCGTTCGATGCGTAATCAAATTAAATAAGCAATTTATTTAGCTATTTATTGGTTTGTTGTGTTGTATGCTTGTAAACAGGTGCAACAAGGTAAGTTGTATGTTGATAGGATAAAAACATGTTAGTGTGTACTGTTTACGTTTATATACTCAGCTTTGCTGATTGTGTATTTGTGTGTTTGTTTGGCCTCGTCTTTATCTTGGCCCTACGACGACCCATTTCTAATGGCGAGTAGTGGGGGCAAAGTAAAGAGAAGTTTTTCAGGTGATGAAGCATATTCATGATGAGCATGAATGAAGGGTGATTCCTGTTTAGTTTCCATAAGAATATGATGTGTTTATTCGCTTTGATTATTATATATTTGCTTGTGAGACTAACAAAAAGGTTTTAATATTCATTTTGGGTTTTGATAAGGGCCTACAATGGTTCCAAGTTGTAGGTTGACTTCATTTGACTTTACTTTCGTTTGGTCTTACTTTTTAAGTTAACTTGTTTTGAATGGTTTTAAAGTGAGTCTTCCGCTTTGTGTCTTTGATAATTGTCTTAACCGTTTTCACAGTGGAGGTAATGTCTTAGAATTCCCTATTTCGTATTTTAAAGGAGCAAAATAGGTATTTTTTAAAGGAAAGAATTTTTAGGTTGTTACAAAGTGGTATATGGGAGCTTAGGTTGAGATTTTTATTACCACTAAAGCCAAAAATGTGTTTCAAAATATTTTGTTTAAAAATTGGCCAAGTGTTTATTTAATTGAGTAATTTTAAAAAGTGAGTTATTTTATTTTATTTTAATTAAACGAGGGCCGAAATTTTTTTTAAAGGTCCGAATTTTTTTTTATCTTGGGAAAAATCCGGATTTTTTTATTTTACTTGGGTGCCGAATTTTTTTTAATTATGGCCGAAAATTTTGGTCTTTCTGGAATTTATTTTCGAAAATTTTCTTTTAATAAAGAGGAGTCAAAAATATTTTTAGTTTGTTCATTTTGCAGGAAAACGAAGGATTAAGGTAAGAATTATGTGTTAATTGCTTTAAAAATTAAAGCTTGGTGTGAGCTTGGATAGGAAGAATTTGGGGCATATAAGTTAGAAATAATCATGTTCTTGTATGCATTAATGTTTAGGTTGTGATGTTTAATCATGTAAATTGATTAATTGGAAGCATGTAATTATGTGACTAGAAATAAGTAAAATTGTTTGATTGAACATTGAACCTAAATTCATGCAAGAACTGTGTTAATTTATTTTATGTGGGAAGAAAATTCTTTTCTAAGTCTTTTCCTTTACAGGATGCCGATATTTCCTAGCAAACACTCTCAAATTGGTACTCTAATTGAGAAATATTTTGAACATCCCTTTAACTATGTCAAGAAAATTCATTTCTATTGTTCACACATGAGCAATGTCTTAGGAGACAAGCATTATGACCTTCCGGATCGTGTTTCATCTATGATAATTCATTGTCTTGCAGACGAACCCCCATATCTTGCTATCAAAGCAAAGTTTTCTGATTTCTACTTACCTGGGGACGTCCTAAATTACTCCAAATACAAAGATTATTATGGACAGTGGTATCTGATTACATATACTTGATTTCTTACCTCGTTCGAGTTGAGAAATATCATTACGAGTGCTTACACATTCCATATCCAAAATACTAATATGACAACCCAACAGGGAATGATACCCTTTCCACTAGTCATCAATCAGGAAATTCTTCTCCACCACAGGGTAATCAAGCAGGAACAGATGGAGGGTAGGAGGAAGGAGATCAAATGGATGAGAGTAACCATACTTTTGATAGTTCCATTATGGAGATTCTAAATTCAAATCCACCCCCAACTCCAATTATAATTGACATTTCATTGAAGATGAGGAAGATGAAGAGTTCATTCAAGTAGAGCAAAATCCAGAGACACTTGAACCAATGGAGAAGGAAGATGACCCTGAATTCGATCCTGGAAGCTACAAACAATCGAAGGACAAGAAGGACAATGTTCGAAAGGACTAGATTTTTGTAGTTTCATTTCCTTTAGGATTCTTAGTTTCATTTCCGCAGTTTTAATTATTTCCTTTTTCAGTAAAGTAATAAGTGGCATGGCCACAGTGAGTCAATAAACCTATTGAGTTACGTATGTTATTCGAACTCATTTCATTTCATTTTTTTTCATTCATTTTCTTACTTAGCAATAAAACTTTATTCAATTCCTTGCCAAATAATTCATTTTACAGCCAAATAATTCATTTCATTTCCAAATAATTCATTTCTTATCGCTACTCCAATGAGTCATTTCTTACTTAAATATTCCAATAATTCATTTCTAAACCCTGGGAAATCATGGAAATTATTTTTATCTATTGATGTGACACTTTATTAACTGTATGGTTGGTTAGCAATCAAAATTTGGTTGATCAAGCTGTAAAATTTGAGAGTCGTAATTTTGCAATCTCGATTTGTTAGCTTAAATTAAATGCGTGTGTATGAAAGGTATAAGTTAGTTAGATGGGTTTCCAACTTGAGAGCTAACCATGACCATAATTAATAAAGGCCCCTTGTTTTAATTCAGGAGAAGAAAGGGCAGGAGAAAGTGGGAACAATAATGAAGGAAATGAGCTGAGTGAGGTTGTAAGGCAGTTGGCAGTGGTTGCCCAGCAGTTAGCAAGAAACTCGGCCAACAATAGGGATGCTCAAGGGGAACTATTTAAGAAGGTGGCGCAAAGCAAGCCACCAACCTATCAAGGCAAACCTGATCCAACAGTGCTGGAAAACTGGTTAAGGGAATTTGAGAAACTTTTTGGGGTAGTAGGATGCTTAGAAAATTCGAAGGTGGGTTATGCTACCTAGTATCTCAGGGGTGAAGCTGACCTTTGGTGGCAACAAAATGAGGCTACCATTAAGGCACTACCTGGGTTCAATTGGACTATGTTTTAAGAGAAGGTTAGGGACAAGTTTTACCCTAGTTTCCTACAAAAACAGAAAGCCGAGGAATTTTCTAACCTAGCAATGGGAAATATGTCAGTCACTGAGTATTATACCAAGTTTCACTACTACAAAAATAGGCGAAGAGACCTGTAATATGAGACTTGTTGATTAATATAACAGGTCTCTTTAGTATAAGAGATCTAATATTAGAGATAACAGGTCTCTTATATATTAAAGGGCCTACCACTCATTTGTGGAAGTTAATGGAAAAGAAATAAGAGACCTGTTGTTTATCCTAACAGGTCACTTATTTGTGTAAGGGTCCACCACCCACCCTTCATTTTTTTACCTCTCTCCTTTTCTTACTCTAATTGATTCGGTCTTCCACCTTCGTGTGTTATCTCCTCTTTCTCTCTTTGTTTTACACTTTCATTCTCCATTGAAGCTTTGCAAGGAAGAACTTGCCCACCAAAGTCGCACGAAAGTCTACTCCAGCCACAAGCAGAGTAAAGAAGGAAGCCCCATCGTTTCAGACCTAGAATTGTCGCAATTCGTGAGATCGAAAGTAATAGATCAGGGAGGCCGCTGAAGCTTACTGGTTTGCCTTTTCAAACATACCAACCTTTGCGTAATTTGTGATGAGAGGGCTTAATTTGGGGGGTTTTAATTGAATCTTAATGTCTAGGGTTTGGGGTTTTTTTTTTCAAGAAATTATAGTTTTTCTTTGCTTGCATATAATTTAATCATGTTTGTTTATGCTTGTTATGTTTAATTGTTGATTGTTAAAAAAAAATTGGGTTTAATCGTCCATTTTTTTGGAATTTTGTTTCACTATTGAGGTAATTGGACGACAAATTGAATGACTCTTTGGAAATTAAGTAATCGATGCAGAATTTATATTAAATGTTGATTAATTGCTTTGATAGTCTTGTTGTTCAAGCACAACAATTCGAAATCTAACCCCTTTTTTCTCTATTGTTTTTTGCTCAAGTGTTGACTTAATTAAGATTATCTTTGTCTGGGTTTATCATTCCATTTGAATGATGAACTGGGTGTAATTTTTTTTTAAAAAAAGGGAATTGGGTGTATTTTAAATGTTGATTAATTGGCTATGGTAGATTATTGTTGTTGTTGAGTTTGTATCACTTATGCCTCTAATGTTATCTTCCAATCCCTTGTTTTTTCTTCAGAAAGATCGGCTCGTAGTCTAGGATTTCGATAATGTATACAAGAAAAGAGTTTATACAAATATTCACTCTTGCTTGCTCAACACTATGAGGTTAATCTTAATGTATTAGCTGCCTCAGTGTAGACACTTCCTCTGGTACAGTGGCCTTCGATAATATGAGTAAGCTTATAATTTTCAAGGATCTTGCGGTTGACAATTATCTTTTGCCCTACAGATTTAGTTTAGTTAATGATGGAACTATATATGATGCATCCTTTGATGGAACAATAAGCTGCACTAACATAGAAACTAGAATTTCATAATCATTAATGGACCTCAATCCTAATGATTGGCATGTAAGTCAATATTTTTTATTGATATTTTAGTTTGGTCAGATGTGATTGTGTTTGGCTATGATAGCATTCAGTTGTCAATGAGAATTTACAACACACCCAAGCATTTTTTTTTCTTTTTTTTTTTTTAGATCTTGTTGCTTTACTTTTCCTTAGGTAATATAATTAGGCTTACATTCTTGAATACATGATTAATGGGATACATGAACACATGCAGGGTCCAAGAAGTTGGCAGATGTTGTATGTCTTAGATATTAACTTAGAGAAGAAACAAGGAGAGATAATTACTAGAGGTCATAAAAACTTTGAGCTTATGCTCAATCTACAATTAGGAACCAGGTACTTTTCGCCTCTTTTTGCCCCATTATAATTTTATTTATGGACTACTTTCGATATATTGCAATCATGTCATCCTGTTAATGCACCTTATTTGGCTCTAGTAAGCTCAAACCTCAACTGTTTCGGTCTTATTGTCTGTCGTTCTTATTTAGCTCTAGTAAGCATTGAACTAGCTCCTTGACCATAGACATGCAAATTAAGATGAATTTAGTTCAAACATTATTATATTGTGATTATTTTAAGAATGGTGATGTATTATTTTAATTAATCATATACAAAGTGGTAAAGGTGATTTTTAAATTGTGATTTATATTTATTGTGTCTTATGTGGCTTTTCAAAATTAGTATTCTCCTTCGGATTTCAATGTGGGGTGTGCTTTAGTTAGAGATGCATTTAGTATTCTAGTTTTACGTGATTGATCACTTATACAGAACAAATGGTATGCATCCTGCCAATTTCAAAAATAAAACTAGTATGAATCTTTAATTAGCATGTTATTATCATTTTGGAAGATCGCGGAGCAAGTATCCTTATTTATAGACTTTTCGGTATTCTTATCCAAACATTATTCAGTAAACTGGAATGTGATTTTAGATCATGTGCTAGATAATGAAAATTTGTATTGCTTATCAAGTTTTTTAATTCGGTATATGTGCGTGTTAACATTGTATACAGCAATAATATATAGGTACTTATCTAAACATCTCGTTTTTCAATATCTAAAATCTTTTAATGTTCGTACAGCTGCTGCTTTGCAGCCTCTCACAAAAGACTGGGAAAATTTACCCCCAAATGCCTCATTTTAATCATGACATTGCATATTTCAACCCATATCATTAAATTCATTTGTTTGTATGTGTAATTTTTTTTTTTTTAATATAGTTATAATATATCATGATCTTCCATTATTATTATCAATGAGTTATGACTATATACGGCGATTTATTGTTTATCTTACAATTTTTTAAAGTGGACCCCTGTACATATTCAACTGGAAATATTGACGAAATTAGAGACTTGTGGGCTAAGTATGTTCTAGAGCTTGAACAAGATGATGTTAATGAAGATGGTATAGACATTGCGTGAGTTTAGTTTGTCCATTACTTTTGGGAAAAGTATTGCGATTTTTAGAATTTTTTGTATAGTACTTTTGGAGCTTATCTTAGATGGCATGGAAATTAAATGAGTGGTTTATATTTTTGGAGAATACTGGATTTTTTTTGCAGATATTGCTGTATAGTATTTTTGGAGGTTATACTATAATTAATGGATATTTGTAAAAGTGTTTATCAACTTTTGTTTATTATTGTATGTTCCATGAATATTATAAAATTATGGAGTAATGTATATGATGTGCATATATATAGCAGGTGAAAAATATAGGTACAAATATCCTACAGGTGCCATACAGGAACAAATACAGCTCATATACCGTACAGGAACAAATACAAATATAATTGGATTTTGGGAAATAAAATTAAAAAAAAAAATAACAAAGAGACCTGTTATCGTTACTAATAGGTCTCTTAAATAACAGCTATGAGACCTGTTGGCCATGGTAACAGGTCTCTTTGCTTTCTAAAATATATAAAATAATCACGCGCAAAGAGACCATTGTCTCACTTCTTAGGTCTCTTATTAATACCAAAGAGACTTGTTCTATTGACCAGGTCTCTTAACCAAAGAGACGTGAGCTAGAGACCTCCAAAGAAGAGGTCTCTTATGCCTATTTTAATAGGTCTCTAAGGCATATTTTGTAGTAGTGTTTATTAAGCTGTCAAGGTTTGCCAAAGAGTCTGTTGCTACAAAAAAGGCAAAAGCTAGGAATTTTGAGAGTGGATTGACCACTGATTTGCAGCTAAAGCTGTGTGGACAAGTGTTCGAAACCTTAGATGAAGTTTATGGGAGATTTGCACACCTTTATGCGTTGGAGTTGAAGAAAAAGAAAGAATTAGCTGAGGTAGAAGGGAAGGAAAAGAGGAAAGAGATGGGACAAAACTCTGGAAACCTGTAAGGTAACCAGAACAACTTCAAGAAGCAGAAGTACCACCATAACAACAACAACAACAACTTCAACAACAACAATAATTTCCAAGGTAACAATCCCCAGGGTGGGCGAAACTTTAATGGTGGAGCTAGGAACTCTAACCAAAGAAATAACAAAGGACCAAGGCCTTTTTACTGCAAGAGGTGTAGGAATGACCACCCTGGTAAAAATTGTGAAGGTAATTTGGTTACTTGTCGCGCTTGCAACAAGTTGAGACATTGGGAGTGCGAGTGCTTCTCCAAAGATTCTAATCGAAACAAGCAGGGCAATAATCAGGAGGGGCTCAAAGGAACTTTCAGGGGAACAACAACTATTCAGGGAACAAAGGGGAACGGCAGAACGGGGTGAAAGGAAACAATAATGGGAATAATCAGGTGAAGAGTGGAGCTCTAAGAAAACTGAATGTGATCAGTAGGCACGAAGCTGATACTACAAAGGATGTTGTTACTGTTACTTTTTCTATTAACTCTATTCCTGTTAAAGTTTTGTTTGATTTTGGTGCAAACTTTTCTTTCATTTCAAACCTGTTATTTCAAAGTTATCACACTGTTTGAAAACCGTAGATGTCATAGATGTACCTATAGCCATTCCTACGGGAAGGGTAGTACAGTGTACCAAAACTTTTAAGGATGTGCCATTAGAGATCAAGGGGAAGGTGTTTTTGTCTGACCTCATTGAGTTCGGGTTAAGTGACTTCGACGTTATTTTGGGAATGGATTGGTAGAGTAATTATAGTGCGGAGATTCGTTGTCTATCGCAGAAGGTGTAGTTAAGTACAGCTGAGAGTAAGTTGGTAACACATTGGAAGCATGGTGAGAGAAAGTGCCCAAGGATCATATTTATGATGAAGTTGGCTAAATATATTAGGAAGGGACATCCAATATATTTTTGTAGTGTGAGAAACTTGGAACACGAAGAGACAGCTAAGCCTGAGAACATAGAAGTGGTAAATGAGTTTCTGGATGTGTTCCTAGAAAAGATTTAAGGAATGCCACCTAAGAGGGCAATTGATTTCACAATAGAATTGGTCCCATGGACGACACCAATTTCCAAGGCACCGTATCAAATGGCACCTGTAGAGATGAGTGAGTTAAAGGAGCAACTGCAGGACTTACTATAAAAGGGATACATTAGACCAAGTGCATCGCCTTGGGGAGATCCAGTGTTGTTTGTTAAGAAAAAGGATGGGAGTATGAGGTTATGTATTGACTATAGAGAGTTGAATAAGGTTATCATAAAGAACAAGTACCCATTACCAAGGATTGATGACCTATTTGACCAATTGAGGGGCGCATCTCTGTTTTCCAAGATTGATTTTAGGTTTGGATACCATCAGTTGTGGATCGCAAATGAGGATATTCCCAAGACTGCATTAAGAACAAGGTATGGACATTATAGTAATGCCATTTGGATTGACGAATGCTCTAGCAATATTTATGGACTTTATGAATAGGTTGTTCTATCCATTATGGACAAGTTTGTCATGGTGTTCATAGATAATATACTGGTGTATTCAAAGAATAAAGAGGAACATGTGGAATATTTGAGGGCAGTTTTACAAACTTTAAGGGAGAATAACCTTTATGCGAAGTTTTCCAAGTGTGAGTTTTGGTTGGAGAAAGTAGCATTTGTGGGTCACTTTGTGTCCAAGGATGGGGTAGAAGTAGATCCAGAAAGGATTAAGGCAGTGAAAGGATGGCCTACACCAAAGACGGTGTCTGACATTAGAAGTTTCTTAAGTTTTGCAGGGTATTATAGGCGTTTTGTGAAGGACTTTTCTAAAATTGCTAAGCCTATGACCTCTCTAATGAAGAAGGATAAGAAGGTCGAGTAGGATGAGAAGTGTGAGGAAGCTTTCCAACTCTTGAAGCAAAAGTTGATTACAGCACCAATGCTTACATTGCCAGATGATAGTGGAATCTACGATGTATATAGTGATGCATCCAAAAATGGTTTAGGATGTGTGCTTATGTAAAATGGAAAGGTGATTGCATATGCATCAAGACAGTTAAAACCTCATGAAGTGAACTATCCTACTCATGATTAAGAATTAGATGCAATCATTTTTGCACTAAAGATTTGGAGGCATTATTCGTATAGAGTGAAATGTAGGATTTACACAAACTATAAAAGTTTGAATTACATTTTCACCCAAAGGGATCTAAACTCTCGTCAAAGGCGATGGTTAGAATTTACAACGGACTACGACTTAGACATACAATACCATGAAGGGAAAGCAAATGTAGTTGCAAATGCTCTAAGTCGTAAGACCAGTCATGGACTGAACACTTTGATAGTGGCTGATGAGTTATGTAGGGAAATTAGGAAAATGAATGTAGAATTGGTAGAATGGATAGTACCAGCGGGTATACTTGCGAATCTAAGCATTCAACCAACAATATTTGATGAGATGAGGGAAAATCAAGCAGGAGATGTTAAGTTGGATAGGATTCGTGAGAAAATAAAGCAAGGAAAAGCTACAGACTTCAAAATTCATGAAGATGGGAGTTTAAGGTACGAGGGTAGATGATGTGTACCACAAAAATGTGAGGAAGTAAAGAGAAAATTAATGGAAGAAGGTCACAATACACCATACTCAGTACCCCAGGAGGGGACAAGCTGTAAAAAAACTTGAAAAAGATGTATTGGTGGCCTAGAATGAAGAATGAAGTTGCGGATTTTGTAGCGAAGTGTCTAACTTGTCAAAAGGTGAAAATAGAGCACAAGAGACCGTAAGGAACCGTGCAATCATTAGAAATTCCTGGATGGAAGTGTGATTGCATTTCGATGGATTTTGTGACTTGCCTCCCAAAGTTAAAGAGTGGAAATGATACCTTTTGGGTTGTGGTGGATAGACTTACTAAATCTACAGTGTTCATACCAATGAAGGAGACCTGGAAGATGGAGCAATTTGCAAAAGCTTACATCAAAAATGTTGTGAGGTTACATGGAGTTCCAAAGGATATTGTGTCTGATAGAGATTCTAGGTTTCTTTCAAAGTTTTGGAAGAGTGCTTAGGAAAACTTTGGTACAACACTAAAGATGAGTACAACATTTCACCCTGCCAGAGATGGACAAACTGAGAGAACTATTCAAACCTTGAAAGATATGTTAAGAGCATGCGTCATAGACTTCCAAGGGGGATGGGAAGATAGCTTGGACTTAATTGAATTTTCGTATAACAATAGTTATCATGCGAGCATTGGCATGGCTCCATATGAGGCATTATATGGAAGGAAGTGTCGCATTCCTGTATGTTGGAATGACATAAGTGAAACAATGATCTTAGGGCCTCAAATGATCGAGGATATAGTTAAGCAGGTGATAAGTCGTGTTTTGTGTATATTATTTGGTTGGTTTTTAGTTAGTTTTGTTAGTTTAGTTGAGTATTTGAGTCCGTTTTGGCGTATTTTGCTCTACTTTGGATAATCCGGTGCTTTTATGGGTAGTTTTGTTGTTTTTAATGATTTTCAGGAATAATGGAGCTAATTTGGATGAATTATAGATCCACGAAGTAAGTCAAAGCCCATGGAGTTTGGAGATTAAAGAAAAGTCAAGAAAATGGCATTTTAGAGGTAGGCACGGCCGTGCCTCCCCATTAGGCACGTCCGTGCCTCTGTGCCAGAAGCTGCACCAAAGGAAGACCCTAGGCACGTCCGTGCCTAGCAGAAGAGGCACGTCCGTGCCTAGGTAAAGAAGCAGGCATGTCCGTGCCCAGCATCAGGCACGTCCGTGCCTGGAAGACAGACTCAACAGCGTTTTTATTTTTAGAGAGGCACGTCCGTGCCTCCTGGGATTCTTGTGCGCCAAGGCTTAGCCAATTTTCTTATCTTTTTAGGCTCATATAAATACTTTTTAGCCTTATTTTTCTTGATTATTCATGAAGCCATATTTTATTTTATTCTCTCATTAAGAACTAGTTCTCCATCTATTTTTTTTCTCTAAGTTTTGTAATTCAAGATTCAAGATTCAAGGTTTCTACCTTCAATTTTATTCAAGATTTGGTATTTATTTTTCATCCTTTGTTATTTAATTATGCTTTCATTATTTATTATTGTTTTTGTTTCTTTAATAATGTGTGAGTAGATTCTTTAATTCAAGGTCTAGTGTAGCCCAAATATTATTGATGCATGAATTAAATCTTTAAATTCTTTAATAACTTTAACAATTGAATTGCTAATTTGATTGTGATTATGCCAATGCTAGGTTAGACGTAACTATAATATTGCGATTATTCCATTGTTTTTATCACAACGAGAGTTGGGTTTAAACGGATTTGA